AGTGAGTCTAAGGCAGCTTTGTTAAATTTGGGAACAAAGGGGAAGCAAAGCTTAATTTTTTTTTATTCAAATAAAATTATATTATTTGTACCTAATCCTAGCTTGATAATTTAGTCTTCCATCTTTTCCTTTGTCGTTTTTCTCAAAAGACAGAATCTGAAACACCATCTAACTGAAGTATAGATTTCATGGACACTGTATTTAATCCTTTCTCTCTAAAACAAACAAACCAAAACATAAATCAAGCACAACTTCTCTACAAATGACGGGAAAATTCTGTTTCCTTCTGCAGCTTTTACTAACAGATGTTAAACCCAGTTCTTGTAGTTTGGGGATATTGTTCGTTTAGAGCTTTTGGTTGCCCGATATGACATTCTTCCGCACGTGCTGTAAGAGCAAAGCTTCCTTTCTACTGAAGGCAGGGTGTCAGCCCAGCTCTCCAGCTGGTACCACCTCTCTATAGGGTAAAATCCATAGTCTGCTGATGGTGAGCTAAGACCCCCCCACCCCTAACCCCCACCCCGTCCTACCTTCAAGAAACAGCACAGCGATTAAAACACGAGCTTTGGACTCTGCTTTGTGTTGAATCTGGATTCTGCCACTCAATAGTTCTGCCTTCGTTTTTCTCCATCTGTAAAATGAGGATATTGATGGAACCTGCTATTCAAGGCTATTGTGAAGATTAAATGAAATACCGAATGAAAAGCATACAGCACAGTGCCTGAGTGCATAGAAAACCTTTAATACATGTTAGCTACTATTACTGGTGATTGTTCTCAGATACCTCAGTCATCTCCAGTATTGAGAGTTTAGATGACATGACCTTGAAGCTCTCCTGTGGTTAAACTGTCCTATGTCAAAGTTTAAGGCTTTATTTCTACCTCTTTTCTTTGGAACAAGGCTAAAACCTTTCAGGGGGATGTCCCTTCCTTCTCCTCTTTCTGTCTTTCTCCTGAGTCTCTCCATTTCTATCTCCAACAAAACCAGGCCGGGAAGGAGGGGAGATTTTTCTCTTACTTACCTTTAGTCAGATAGGAGGGAGCATATTTGTTGTTATTATTTACTTAAAGCAAAATATCAGCTGGATCTAAAATTACAAGAAAGGAGAAATGTGGGGATCCCTTTCTCTCTTTTCTTGATAAAGGCATCCCATACTCGGCCTCTCCAGACTTCACAGAGAGAACTAAATGCATTTTCTCATGAAATGCTATAAACCCACTCTAGGTCTCATTTGCACGGAAGGCGTGAAGGATAGCTAAATTTCCTTTCAAGACTAGACAGGTGGTTTCCATCCTCCAAGTTAGTTAGAACCTCAAGTCCATGCATGTTGTCTCTGGTAAGTTAGTAAGCACTTACTAAGTAAATAAAATGCAAACTATTTTGAAAGTCTAAAGCAGCTGAAACAAGCAGAAGTGCTGCATTTCTGGGAAGCTGTGTGTTGCTGAACCCCTGAGGGTAAAAGAAAGCAAAATAAAGGGCTCCTTTTAAAGACCAAGGTTAACTAACTGTACTGGTTTCCTAAGATTGCCCTGGTTTTAAGCTCAGAAGGTCTCCTATCCAGGAAAACCCCTCAGTCTTGTACACACTGGGACATATGGTCAAGATAGAGACTTAAGTTGTGGTTGATAAAACTAACATTCAGTAGACAAGAGTGCATATATGATTTCCCAAATCATGCATCTTTAATATAAATACAATAATATAAATCTAAGGAAAACCATAACGACTGAATACTTTCATAAGAAGCTATCCATTTCTAGGCAACTTCTGGCCAGTTTGTCCGTGTAGTTATTTATAGTGGTTCATTTGGTAGCACTTATTCTAATTGCAAACTTGATTCTTACAAGGAAATAATTAGCCTTGGAGGGCTCTTTTTGAAAACACAAACCTTAACGTGACACCAAATATCCTATGGGCCAAGAAAGGAGAAGTTTTCCAAAAAAAGTTGCTGAACGTTTTCAATGATGGGAGGTCAAGGAAGGAGAACGGGTAAGTTGACCTTCTTCTAGAGAGCAAGGCTGCTGGAATGGTGGAGATGGAAGCCAGATTACTGGGTCCAAAGAGGGAACCAGTGAAGAGGAAGCAGACCAGGCCCAGACCATTTATATAAGATATTTGACCTAGAAAGGAATTCAAACAATGAGATAGTAGCTAGGGGGTTAGCCAGGTCAAGAAAAACAAATCTGGTAAGATGAGGAAAGTCGAGTATGTTGAAGACAGAGCAGAAGAAATCAATCATGAACGCTTCTTTGGAGCTTGTTGCTTGCTAGTCTAGCAAGGAGTAAGAGCAAAATACCCCTGCTGCCTGGGCCGTTCAGGCTGTTATTGTCAGATGTTTTAATGGGAAGCTCTTTCCCAGAGTGCCCAGGATCCTCCCTTCTTACTAGTCACATCTTTTAAGGCCTAGCTTAAGACCCAGCCTCTTGGCCATGTTCTCTCCCACTCCCCTAAATGACTTGTGCCCTAGCAGAGGGTCTGCGCTCTGGGAAAAAGCTAAGGTGCATGGAATGTTATTATAATTGTGTGGCAGCCGCTAAGTCAAAAACAATCTCAGAGTAAGAAACACAGGATAAATGAAAAGATTTGGGAAAGTTTATAGATTAAGTCCACGGCATTGGATAAACACCCAAGGCAAGAAAACTTAGAATAATCAGAATCTCTCTTCTCCAAACTGAGATAAACGGTTTTTTGCTTTTAGGAAAACCATGGCATGTTTTCCTATGCAAGGGCCACCGCTAAAATTTGCAGGAACTGGGGCAAGGGTATGAAGGAAGGCCCATCTACCATATGCCTAAATATTTAAATATGCTACATCAGGCTAACACATGTGGTACACCCACGCTCCCTCTTATCCTAGCCTGGGCTCCATCCAGCACAGTGAGGAGCCTATGGGCACAGATGTGGACAGTCAAACTCCATCCACACCCTGGAGGCCTGGAATGTGCACATCAGTAACTCCTGAATGACTATGATGACCACCTTCCCCAAACAGGCTTGAGGCAATTTGCACAGGGATTTCAGTGTCCTTCACACCAAGCTCAGTCTAGAAGACTGAGGGGGCACATCCATCCTCTGCCCAGGGCAGAATCCTTCTTGACTGGGTTTAAGAGCTACTCTGGACACAATTCTTTTTCTGGAGTTCTATTTTATCATTACATTCTCTTGAACTGACTTTCAAAGAACTTTTGGACAAAACCTTTTACAAGGGTTTCTTCAACATTGACTGTAACAGCACCTAACAAGTTGAGGGGCTCAGAAAGAATGTTCCTGCTGAGCAAACTCCTTCACACCAGGCTTCGGTGTTTCAATGAGGGCCAAGAGGTCCCAAACAGGGGGTTGTTTGGTTCTAGCCAGCTCTTTTTATCAGATGAAGCAAATTACAGATTATCTCCTGACAGAGGAAGAGCACAATTTTCAAAGACACTTAAAATGGAAGTATAATAGTCTGAGCTCCTAAGGGGAACAGTTAAGCACAGGTTATTTAGATCTAATCTAAACAACTTTAGGACTTCAGTTCAGCCATTTAAGATAGGAAACAGAGGCCTTCTGTCTCCTTTCCCAGCTGAGGTTCAGATTTGGGTTAGAAGTAGCTGGAGGGTGCAGGATTTGGGGTCTGACTGACCATGAAGGTGATGCCCTTAGGGGAATAACCTCACATGGGGAGTTGGCACATCTGGCTCTACACTTTACTTGGCTGGCTGGCTGGGAAGTTGCTTAATATCTTGGGCCTGTTTCTTCCACTATGAAAAAAAGGGTCAGCCTAGATGATTCAGGATTTTTCTTGGAATGGGAGGCCAGGGAACCCTTGAGCAATTTGATTTCCCAGGAGGTCCTTCAGGGTGAACACAGCTCAGCTCTCCCTGTTAACATACCCACAAGTCACATCCGGGATCGACCTGGGGGTGGGAGAAACGGAGCATCCTCCAGTTACAGTATATATTACCCAGCCTTGATAACCATCACTGGGGCAGATTTCCAGCTGAGATGTTCACTCGCTCTTCTTGAAGAGACAAACTATTACTACTGAAATAACTGCACGGAATATGGGTCCCCAAATAACAGCACAGTCATGCGTGGGGGAGAGCCACAATGTGCTAAGCGATGCATTTAACTAATTAATTTTTTGTGCCTCTGCAAATTATTTGCTTCATTATTAACTAATCTGGAGGCAGTGATGGGGGAAATTAATAGGTTTTAAGGTTCTGGTAAATACTGAAGAAATTATTTACTTAGCATCGATGTGATCTCAAAAAACTTCCTCAAAGAGGAAACAGCTGCCATTTTATTGAACCTACAACATAACAAGTACTGTACAATTAGGAGGTGGTATTTGTTTCGCGGTGTTGTCGTGAGGATAAATGGGACATCCCAGATAAAACATTATGCTTCACCTTACCCCCCACCCCTCACTTTCCACCTCCCTCTCCGCAATTAGGCCGGCTGAAAGCCTGCTTAAAAAGCCTTCCCCAGGGGCTCCGAGAACGTGTCTCAGCTGGTCTGGCACAAAATAGGGCCTCAATAAATATTTATCAAATGAATGAATGGTTGTCTGCATTTCTCCTTTTGTGTAATCATACTCTGGTTCTAAGCTCCTACAATGAAACCTGGGTCCCTGCATTTTGCCAGCCCTATTACGGTGTAGACATAGGGTGAGTGGCCGGGGAAAGGGGATACATAATGAGCAAGGACAGACAGCGGATCCAACACACCGGGGAAGAAGAAAAATAAATCCTTAGAGGCGTACGGCCAACAAAGAGCCAGACGCAGACCAACTGAACAAGGAGCGCCTCGGATCGGCAGTCAGGACCCACTCCTCCCGCCGAGCGGGGTCGGGTCTCGGGCCCTCACCGGGAGAGGAGCCCCCAGCTCCGCACCCGGCGCCCGCCCCCTGGGCGGTGCCAGTAACACGCGGCGCCTCCGCGGGTCACGTGGGGGCTGCTCCGCCGGGCGGCGCTGCTGCTCCCCAATCGCGCCCTCGCAGTGCCGGGGACGCGGCACTCGCGCTCCCGCCGGGGCCCCGGGAAGCGGAGACAAGGAGGCGCCGCCGCCGCTGCTGCCCACTCCTCCCGGCTGCGCCCGGGCCCTGTGCCCGCAGCATGCCCGCCGCCGAGCCGAGCGCCGCCGTCCTCCAGGAGCTCGCGGAGGCGACGCCGCTGCCCGCCGCGGAGCCGCCGCTGCGAGGGTAGCGGGGCCAGAGGCGCCGCGAGGCGGGTGGAGCGGGAGGAGGAGCAGCAGGCATCCTCCGCGGCGCGGCAGGCGGCGGCCCTGCTGCTCGGGCGCGCCCATGGCCACGGAGGAAGGAGAATGCGAGCGGCACCACCCGCCGGCCGCAGCTGCCTACCCCCGCGCCGCGGGCTCGGCGCCCCCCGGAGCTGCTCGAGTCGCCGCCGCCCCCCAGCTGCGGGCGCCCGGCCGCTGGCTGCGCTAGGACGCACCGCCGCTGGTCGCCGAGGGGTAGTGGGGAGGGCGGAGCGAGAGGGACCGGGAGACTGGCGCCCGCCAGGGCGCCGCACGGCATGTAGCTGTGGGCTCCCGCGCCCTTGTGAAGGTGTCGGCCCGGGGCCCCGCCATGGCTGGGAAGGACAGTGGGAACCTGAAGACAGTGAGGCTGTGGCGGGACGCCGCCTTGCGCGCCAGGAAGCTGCGGAGCAACCTGCGCCAGCTCACCCTCAGCGTGGCCGGGGGCTGCCCGGGGACCGGGGAGGACCAGATCGACTCCCCTGACGCCCCCCAGCTCGTGCTGCCGGCCAACATCGGGGACATTGAGGTGCTGAACCTGGGGAACAACGGCCTGGAGGAGGTGCCCGACGGGCTGGGGTCGGCACTGGGCAGTCTGCGCGTCCTGGTCCTTCGCAGGAACCGCTTTGCCCAGCTGCCTCCGGCGGTGGCCGAGTTGGGCCACCACCTCACCGAGCTGGACGTGAGCCATAACCGACTGACGGCTCTGGGCGCGGAGGTGGTGAGCGCCCTGCGCGAGCTGCGCAAGCTAAACCTCAGCCACAACCAGCTGCCCGTCCTGCCCGCCCAGCTGGGCACCCTCGCCCACCTGGAGGAGCTGGATGTCAGCTTTAATCGATTGGCGCACCTGCCCGACTCTCTCTCCTGCCTCTACCGCCTGCGCACCCTCGACGTGGACCACAACCAGCTCACTGCTTTTCCCCAGCAGCTGCTGCAGCTGACAGCCCTGGAGGAGCTGGACGTGTCCAGCAACCGGCTTCGGGGCCTGCCTGAGGATATCAGTGCCCTGCGTGCCCTTAAGATTCTCTGGCTGAGTGGGGCTGAGCTTGGCACCTTGCCAGAGGGATTCTGTGAGCTGGCCAGCCTGGAGAGCCTCATGCTAGATAACAACGGGCTGCAGGCTCTGCCTGCCCAGTTCAGCCGTCTGCAGCGACTCAAAATGCTCAACCTCTCCTCCAACCTTTTTGAGGAGTTCCCTGTTGCACTGCTGCCCCTGGCTGGTCTGGAGGAGCTCTACCTTAGTCGCAACCAACTCACCTCAGTGCCATCTCTTATCTCGGGCCTGGGCCGGCTCCTCACCCTCTGGCTGGATAATAATCGGATCCGCTACCTGCCAGACTCCATTGTGGAGCTCACGGGCCTGGAAGAGCTAGTGTTGCAAGGGAACCAGATCGCTGTGCTGCCAGACAACTTTGGCCAGCTCTCCCGGGTGGGCCTGTGGAAGATCAAGGACAACCCACTGATCCAGCCCCCTTACGAGGTCTGTATGAAGGGGATCCCTTACATCGCAGCCTACCAGAAGGAGCTGGCCCATTCCCAGCCTGCGGTGCAGCCCCGCCTCAAGCTACTCCTGATGGGCCATAAGGCTGCAGGGAAGACCTTGCTCCGTCACTGTCTCACTGAGGACAGAGTGGAGGGAAACGAAGGAGGGGACAAGGAGAAGAGCTACCCACCTTCACCTCCTCCCATGAGCAAGGGCATCGAGGTGACCAGCTGGACAGCTGATGCTTCCCGGGGCCTGCGGTTCATTGTGTATGACTTAGCTGGAGACGAAAGTTATGAGGTGATCCAGCCCTTCTTCCTCTCCCCAGGGGCCCTTTATGTGCTGGTGGTGAACTTGGCCACCTATGAGCCACTGCACTTTCCCTCCACGGTGGGCTCCTTCTTGCATCGGGTTGGGGCCCGGGTGCCTCACGCTGTGGTGTGCATTGTGGGCACCCATGCAGACTTGTGTGGGGAGCGGGAGCTGGAGGAGAAGTGTCTGGACATTCACCGCCAGATCGCCCTGCAGGAGAAGCACGATGCTGAGGGGCTGAGCCACCTGGCTCAGGTGGTGGATGAGGCGCTGGCCCAGGACTTCGAGCTTCGCTCTGCAAGCCCCCATGCAGCGTACTATGGTGTTTCGGACAAGAACCTGCGGCGACGCAAGGCCCATTTTCAGTACCTGCTCAACCACCGGCTGCAGATCCTGTCCCCCGTGTTGCCTGTGAGCTGCAGGGATCCCCGCCAATTACAACGCCTTCGGGACAAACTGCTCTCCGTAGCTGAGCACCGGGAAATCTTCCCCAACTTACATAGAGTACTGCCTCGGTCCTGGCAGGTGCTGGAGGAACTGCATTTCCAGCCACCTCAGGCACAACGGCTTTGGCTAAGCTGGTGGGACTCGGCACGCCTCGGCCTGCAGGCGGGTCTGACAGAGGACCGGCTGCAGAGTGCCCTGTCCTACCTGCACGAGAGCGGCAAGCTGCTCTACTTTGAGGATAGCCCGGCCCTCAAGGAGCACGTCTTCCACAACCTCATCCGCCTCATTGACATCCTCAATGTCTTTTTCCAGAGGGATCCTTCCTTGTTGCTGCATAAGCTGCTCCTAGGGACCAGCGGAGAGGGCGAGGGCGAAGGGGAAAGCTCCCTCGTGATGGCCCTGCCCACGCCGAGCCAGGACCTGCTTCGGGCCACCCAGCTCCATCATTATGTGGAGGGCTTTCTGCTTCATGGGCTCTTGCCAGCCCATGTCATTCGGTTGCTGCTTAAGCCTCATGTCCAGGCCCAGCAAGACTTGCAACTGCTGCTAGAGCTGCTGGAGAAGATGGGACTCTGCTACTGCCTCAATAAACCCAAGGGCAAGCTTTTGAATGGGTCCACGGCCTGGTACAAGTTCCCGTGCTATGTGCAGAACGAGGTGCCCCATGCAGAGGCCTGGATAAATGGGACCAACCTAGCCGGACAGTCTTTTGTGGCCGAACAGTTGCAGATTGAATATAGTTTTCCCTTTACGTTTCCACCTGGGCTGTTTGCACGCTACAGTGTCCAGATCAACAGCCATGTGGTGCATAGGTCGGATGGGAAACTTCAGATCTTTGCATATAGAGGGAAAGTTCCTGTGGTGGTGAGTTACAGACCTGCCAAGGGGGTCCTGCAGCCAGACACTCTGTCCATTGCCAGCCATGCTTCGTTACCAAATATATGGACAGCATGGCAAGCCATAACCCCCTTGGTAGAGGAACTGAATGTCCTACTTCAAGAATGGCCTGGACTGCACTACACTGTGCACATTCTCTGTTCTAAGTGCCTTAAGAGAGGGTCGCCCAATCCACATGCTTTCCCAGGTAAGTGGAGAGAAGGGTGTGGCTCTTCTGTGGTGTTAAAATGTTGTTTTTTGGTGTTTTTTTTTTTTTTGAAGATTTTTGTTTGTGATTTGTACGATTATTTGCTTAACGTCACAAGCTCCCCAGGAAAGCTTCTCAAGGTGAATACAGGGGGAATTTGAGAACAAGCAAAAAGCAATAAGTACGTGAGCAATATGTATCATACTCGCCTACAATAAAGACTCAGACTTGCAAAACGGGTTCCAGTCAAAAGGTTTGGATCTCCTCTTCCCAATTTAGCTCACCTTTCAGAGAAGGAAATTTCAGGGCTGTGCATATTAGGCACATCTTGAAGGACTTGAGATGCTCTGAGTTTGACATGTCTATTGTCACATCCTGTTTAAATTCAAAGTGTTGTCAGAAAGTAAAAATTACTGCTCACTTTTCTTAAGAAATCCCAGAGGAGAATGCTTCGTAATCGGGATTGGATTAGTCAAGACAATGTTATGTTACTAATGATGGATTAGTCAAGACAAAACTTTCAGTCTGTAATGCATGACTAAATCCTGAGATCACTGTTTTACTCATCACACTCCTGGGCATGAACGAGAAACTACTGAGATCTCGGAGGGGAGTTTTCTTGGGTACTTTTCTTGGGTACTTTCTGGCAGTTTTGTGCTTTAGAGCTGTCTTAAGGTTTGTGTTTGTGGTGTTAGGGAGTGGAGTTCGTTAAAAGTACTTTGTGAGAGATGGAAGGGACAAAACATTGGCAAAATAAATTTTCCCCACTTTTGGGGAGTGTTTTCCAAAAGACCTTTTGGTATCCTGAGCCTTCAGTTTGGAATATGTCCATTTCCCACATGGGAATACACTCTTTGGAGCAGTTCTTTAAACTACTCAGATTTTGGTGGTGCAGGCTGGGTTAACAACATTTCAAGAGTCCTAAGGACAAACCTAATGATAGTATCACTGCCAGTTTCACCTCTCTTTCCCCCACCCCCAGGGCACATTGAGGGGTGATGAAATGCAAGACTGCATGCCATTGTGATCTTTGTCTTAGTCTGAATGCAGCTCATCATAGTATCGGGAAGGAATCAGACACCAATGTTTCCGAAGGTAACATCTTCCCGTTGCCCTAGATCCAGGCTGAGTTTAATTCTTCAGCTTGAAAAAAGCCACCATATTCAGTTACCAGTCAACTGAGCCATCCACTCTATATAATTATCTGGTGTCTTGTCAGAGTCCGAGACTTGGTAGATGCTTGAGTTCATTTTATATTTGTCATGGTATTGTCTTCATGAAAGCAAATGCTTTCTTATTGTTACTAAGTTGAATAAAGTGGTTGAGAGTTACATATTCACAGAGTAGCTGATGGAAGGCGCTACCTAAAGCTAATTCTTAATCCAGATGGAGCCTTAATAAAACTGATGTTATTAACAACAAAGGGAAAGACTTAGGTGATTGAACAATTGAAGATCTGTGTAGAGCAATTCCAAGAACTTTGAGGAGTAAACAATGAGGCCGGGCTTCTTTTTCTCTAACCTCAGCTCTTTATTTTTTTAAACAGTCATAAATTCCACAAACAAGCCCATTCTCTTGTTATTGTTTGGCCTGTTTGCCTGTCAAAGGAAGCAACCTGGTTTGCAGTCCAAAATCTAAGGAAGAGATGATTTTTTTTTTATGCTAAAAAAACAAATGGTTCAAAATGGTAAAATTATCTTATATGTTGAATAGGAATAAATCATCAGGTGTTTTGATAATATAGACTGTATATTTCTGTCTATGGTCAGAGAAAGAAGTTATCTTTTTTGCTTTGGTTAGGATTGTATTTCTTCTAAAAAGTAGCAGAGCAAACAAAAGTAGTGGGAAAAGATGATTATAGTAATTCATTACGTTAAGACAAGGAAAATAACGCATTTTCTTCTTTCATATTTTTCTGTGATGACCATCATCTGTTAGTATTTGCCACATTTCTGAAAGATTTGAGAAGAGCTAAAATAAAAAAAAAATTCAAGTTGATGCAGGAGCAGAATTATAATGTCAGGTGTTAGTTAGGGCGTGCATTTAAAAATATGTTCATTGAGTCCCTACATTATTAAAATATGTTTTAACTTGGCAGAAACCTTTGAATCTATTTTTAAGAAGTCATTTTGCTTTTTAGAAACATTTAAAAAGTTGGTTACTTAGTTTTACATTTTATTAAAGTGCCCAGTTCCCCGTAAACTAGTAGTTTTGATACAATGTGAAAAAACTGGAATTGAAATTTTTTTCAGCTTTGGGACATTAAAAGTAAATAGCAAATTACTGTCTTTTTTAATTTTGATTTTATACAGAAGAAATGTAAAGTTGCATTGATATTTTTTAAACTTATTTTGCGAAAAGTCTGTTTTGGCCCTGCCATTGTCCATGGGATGTTAAATTTTCTAGCCTGAGCTGCACTAGTGTAGTTGGCTTGGGGAAGAATAATGCTGTATTTCTCTTCTTTGAATTTGATTTATGAAAGACATGTCATGTTTTGGAAAATGCTCAGCCAACAGCTGCTTGGTTTTTAAAGTTCTTGTAAAAAAGTGTCAGTCATGTTGTCAGGGGGAATTAATGATTTGTCTCATTTAAGATGGGTGAGTTGCGTGACAGGAGATGCTTTTGAAATTCGAAGGAAGCCTGTGATGGAGCCTAAATGTCAGGTGTGTGTGTCTTCACCTCCTGTCTCAGGTACATCTGACAGCCAGGCGTTCCTTCGTGTTACTTGTTTGGATGTTCTAGAGTATGTTTCTTCTTGTGTGATATTTATTATGCTTTTGTCCTTTTCTACCACTGTGACATCTAAACCAGAAAAGCTGAGTACTCCTGAGGTTGGCTGAATGGGATATGGAGTAAGATGTGGTTGCGAGATCCTAGTGCTTTGCTGTTCCATTTAAGTGGTTTGAGCACATGCTGTTTTTAAATTGGAAGAGCGCATCCTAGTGAGTAGTTGAACTTGGGTTCCATGTAATTTTTCACCAAATATCCTACTCTCCAAATTCTTAAAGGTCATTTTTTAGGATCATTGGAAAGCAATCCAAAGCAGCAAACAGAACACTGGTACATGGTCTGTATATTTGGTTTCTGTCGTTCATTAAGTAACCTGATGCCTTTCCACATCGCTCGTCAAGTGCCATTTGCTCCTGTTCCATTGCTTGCACACCTTGTATCTCTCTGAGACACTCAGCACATTTTGCCTTGTTCTGCTGGCGTTTGTGTATGTCATAACATCTCTTTGATTAGGCTGTTCACCATCTGAGCGGGACACACGCCTGAGGCTTTGTGGCTTCTTTGCATGTCTAGATGTTTGCTGAATGATTGGTTGGTCTTTGGTGAGAAATACCTTTTTTTTTCTTTGTTATTCACATATTCTGTCAAATTCCCAGGTGGTAATCTAGTGGTCATCTTGCTTTGTCCTGTGTTCCAACTTCCTTCCCCTGTGCCCCAAATGTCCCTCTAGTGTTCCCATTGTCACTATATTACTGGTCTTTCCTTTGAATGGGCCCTTCATTTTGACCACTGAAGCAAAGCAAAATTCTTGCCCTATGATATCTCAGTTTTAGAGTTGCTGGAATTTGAGCATGACCTAGTTGTTTGGATTCAATTAGTCATTGTTTTTAATTTCACAGAGGTTATTGAATATCTTTTTAGTTGAGCTTTATTAATGTTGATGCCTCTTGGCTTTTATTTTTCTGAACAGTCCTCTTTGAACTCTCCTGGGCTTTGTTTCACATAAAAATCAAAACCTTAATCATGCAGTAGGAGAAAGAAGTACCACGCATGACAGAATTCAAAGCCTAGAAAGGCCTTTGGAAAATAAATTATATTATTAGGTGCCTCTTCTTTAAACTTTAGAGGAGACTCTCAAGTCCATCCCTGTGCAAGTAGCTTAGAATTTCCTAGAGAAAGTAGTTTTATTTGTTAACAGACATTTTATGTTATACTCTGTCGCCTGCTCGTTGTACTCCCCAGTAAACGTTACCTATTTTAGTTCTTGCTCATTTATGTCATTTTAACACCTAAAGCATTTACAGTGTGTACTTTACAGGGTTGTTTTGGGAATTAGGGGAGAGAATGTATTGAGAAAAACAGTTATTCCCTCTACCTGTAAAGAAGTGAGGGATTTCTGCTCCATTACATGGGGGTTAGGGGGTGGGAGATGGGGGCTATTGGAGTGAACACTTTCGGTTGCTGTCATCATTCATCCATTAACTTGCTTCTCTCCATGGGAGCCTATTATCATTAAGGACCTGACCATCCATCTATTAAGGTGCTTTTTTTTTTTTTTAACCAGGAGGCAGGTGCCATCCTCATCTCTTGCCCTCTCTTATGTCCTGCAGCCTTGGCACTCCTGTACCTGGGGGTAGAGAGGAGAGTTGCTTTGTGTTTCTCTGAGGAAAGCACGCTAGGTGGGTCTGCTTGGGGCAGGCCCAGCCAAGCCTCTTCTCCCTGGTTCAGCTGCTCTGATTGCAAAACCGGCTGCTGAGTGGGTTGTCGGGCTTGCCTTCCTTTGGGTGTTGGCATCCTTCACTTCAGCGCAGAGGGATGAGGAGGCCCCTTTTTGGCCTGCTTTCCCCAACCCTGCTCTCGCATTAATGAAGCTGACCCTCTGAGCCCCTTTTGGCTCCTCATGTCTGCACAGCCTATAGAAATCAGAGTGATTGACAGGCATCTCAGACAGCCACAGAATACATATGATGACATGTCTTTGTTATACCATAAAGACCCTCTCCTATGTAAGGTATGGCGGTATTACTCTAGGGTTATAAACTCTCTTCTCTGAGTTCTGATGTTTCATGTGATGGCAGAACACTCAATGGGCAGTGCCTGATGTAGGGCTGAGCAGATAGAAGGGCTCAAAGTGGATTGATTATTTTTAAAGAACTCAAGAAATTCTAGTGTTTCTTAATTGATTACTCTGCAAAGTGCTTCTTTGGGTTGTTTATAGTGTTCTTTGTCTTAAAGTGTGGTTTGTTTTTTTTAAAGATTTTTTTTATTGG